ACAAAGGGCATCGCAACTAGGAGCAAAGACGCTACTAGGGGCGCTCCTGGCATTACTGGTAACAAGAAGCTACTAGGAACAAAGGGCATCACGGCATCGCTACTAGGAGCAAGGACGCATGCAAAATTCAAAAGATGTCGAGGGGATTCGAGGGGGCTACCTTGTCAGGATTTCGATGCATTCGCCAACAAGGGCCTACAGAAACGCCAGTTCGCAAAACCCAGTCTGACCAGAAAAGTAGCGCAATTATATACAAAGCCTTGAACGAACTAGAACGACAATGTTTTGTTTTATACTGCAGCGATTGTGGAAGAGGAGCAATTGCAAGCGGAAAATAGTCAGTCACTCAGCTTATGACTGTTTGTTCCGGTTCCAAATGATGCTGAATCCATTTGGCCAAGGCTTTGAAATTCCGCTTGAGATGAGGGGCAGAAGAACACATGGTACAGGGACGTCGAACACCGAGCGGCCGCTTTAGATTCCCTCAGCTGAAAGCGAAAGGTGCATTCTGGACGGGTGATACGAATAGCGGGAAGCGAATGGGGGCCATAACGAAAGGGGCCGGTGGCCTTGAGTGACCAGTAGAACTGTACCAACCTGCAAAGCAATGATGCATTCTGATCTCATGTTGTTAATAGCCACCATCGACCGCGCAATGCCGCGAGCGCTCACACTTGGTCATTTGGTGTTATCAGTGCGTGACACGAGGATGCAGGGTCCGATGACTTGTGTGGGAAAAAGGGTGGAAGCAAGGCAGACCATGGATGATAGTTGCGGTTCGAAGGTGCGCCTTATTGTTACCACACTTAGCTTCAGGAGATTGGAAGTAAAGTAACGCGGGCATGCGGCATGAGCATACTGGTAGTGCGTATGCCCATGTCCAAGCGTGGGAGCATGTGGGAGCTTAATTTTTTCAATCGATCGGTCAGCCTGCAGGATGTTGTCTTGCGGGCCCACCAACCCAAAGTTGAAGGAGAGTAGCAGGCGCATGTGCAAGGTGTTCAGTCTTCACTTATATAATATACTGCTAAGCATGTTTTGTCCGGAATGGCCAAGCCCGCGGCACCGTGGTCCAACACCTGGCTGCGAGAGACGAGAAAAAGGGCGGCCGTTCTCCCGGGGTTCCGCTGCATTCGTAGTTAAGGCCAGGAGCCAGGAGCCCCTACTAGGCCCTAGTAGCGTCCTTGTTCCTAGCGTTCCGTTCGTAGCAAACAGGTTTCATTTCATTTCATTGGCTGTTGAAGCGTCAGTGCTGAAGGTGGAAAGGCGCAGATGAACATGGTGTTCAGGATGCTGTTTTGTGAAAAAGTCAGCGTGGGAGATTCGACATCAGCGGTATGCATTCTGCCATGGATGTGCCTTACTCTTTGCAAACCCGTTGCTCAAGCATTTTCGTTTTTTCCACCTCGACATTAGTTTTTCATTGAGGGTAGCTCGTCATGTTTGCCGCCAGTGGCAGGCGGTCTGTGCCAGAGCCACCTGGATGAATCACATGAGTGGCCGCAACCCTGCATCCTTGAATCGCCGTATCAGGGTATTTTTGTGTTTCCACTGCTCCAGCGTTGGTGAGAGCCACCGCTATCCGTTGTCAATGTGTGGTGAATTCTGCATTTTCGGAAAACATGGGAGATGAGATCAATTGCACTAAGGCATGTTGTTGGTCATGCACCCGGCCATCAGAACTACTGCAGCTATGTCGTCCCAGCCACTCAAGCTATGTCCTCTAGGTGAGAGGACCAAATTGCAATGCAATGCGAATTTGCCCCCAGAGTTCTCATAGATCCTGCTGTCGCTGTCCTCAATCATAGGATTCACGTCACACACAAACCATCTTGGAAGTCCATCGTTGTCGCCAGATCCATCGGTGGTGGCCCAGCACCAGCTCAAGTCACCGTTAGACGGGCTGTATCGCCGAAGTGGGTGACCGTCACACCAGAAGGCACGGTCGAAAGACGGCATTAAGAACAATAACAGAGGCCACACCTTTTGGAAGTGTCGAGGGTCTGAGCTGCTCATGAGTGAGCTGAGTATGCAGGCAGTCTTGGTCAATATGAGCAATCAGTTATGGTTCGACGGTCTACAAAGTATAGTAATTATTGCGCTGCATTGCTTTGTTGGCTTGCGCAGATCAGCAAACATTTGTAAAAGGGTTACTAAAAGATACTAAAGGGCATTTTCTTGATTTTTGTGGCAGGTGCTACTTCTCTTGGAGGAGTTAAGGGTCCTCTCCTCTCAGTGCGGCAACCCTGCAGGCTTGTGGCAAGAGGGGCCACCTGAAACCAAAAACCTGGACACTCAAAATCAGGAATGCTTTTGAAGCAGGTCAGCCGACAGCCGCGGGAGACCCTCTGTCGCAGCTTGTCAGCAGGAAAAAGACAGGTTTTGCATCCCTGTGCCCCATGGAATTTTTGTGCATTCGATCGATTTGGTTTGCCTGATGATTTCTGGCGCAGTAGGCGAATCAGGCTGGTTGCATGTAGCTCGAGATTCATCACCAAGACCTGCCGGAAAACCCCTTCCAACCATATTGGACCTTTCTTCATTTTCTTCTTGCTTTGTTTCAACAGCGATGACCTCCAACCTAATAGCAATGGCCTCCAACCGAATAGGGGTTGGTGGAAGTCCTCCCTCAAACCAACTTCCAAATGCACCAGCAGACGCAGGATGATTCTCTTTGCGGCACTTAGTTTCATCACAGTCAATGAGTCGCCGAGTTGTTGCAAACGACATGCCCATGATGTGGGTGAGATTGGAGTGCGCTGAGAGCGCTATGAATCAACGTTTGGAATCACTAAGTCCCGAAGCGCTTCAGCTGAGCTACCTTCGGGTTGCAAGACTCCAGTGATCCCAGGCGAGACGGTTCTACACAGAAATGCAAACGCCTTCATTGGCGGACAATTAATTGAACTTTTTAGGGGAGTTGTAAGTGAAGCCGTTCACGCAGAACTAGCAAACGTGGTTGTTGACCTTGGTGTCTTGATCTCAAGGAGTCATGTTTTTCAACCACCACAACTGGGCCACTTTATGATCAGTGCTGGAAGGAGACTACCGACCCAGCTCATCCGATTTCATCAGTGCATCCTATATGTTGAACATGCTTGGACCAGTTTTTGTTCATGGCAGAAGAGTTGCTCCCGAAGGGTTCTTGAAGCTGTGTGCCGAGCAAGCAGCCAACTCTCACGCTTGCATAATGTGTTGCTGACCTCCAGTCGAAATCACATGCGCTACTTATATATACAGTGTACATATATATATATATATAATGTTCATATGTCCTCATGAGTAAACACAACATATAGCATTTTTCACCGTAGCATTGGGCTCGAAGGGCCTATGCCACTTTGCTCCAAGTGCAGAGCTTCTTGCAGGGAGGTGTTCAGTTTGTACCTCCGCGGAGCGTTTGTGGGCGGTTTGCACGAGCGATCGCTTACCGTCCACTGCTGAGGCCGGGGCTAAGGTGACCAAGTGCCTCGACGGGGCATTCTACTCCGTGGCCCGGCTGGTTCCGGAGAGCGAAGAGGAGCCTGAGAAGGGAGCTGGTGCTCCCAGGGAACCCCTGAGAGGGGGCACTACAAAGGGAGAGGCGTCTCCCAGACCAGCTGAGGTCGAGAGAAAGGAGAAAGAGGAAAAGCCCGATAGCCAACAGAAAGAGGACAGTCAGAGTGGAGAGGCCGCTGTCCTAAAGGTTGCGCCTACATCAAAGCCCAAGGAGAACTTACAGCCCAAGGAGGAGATTGAAGCTAAGACAACGGGAGTTGACAACAAGCCAAGAAGTACTGAGGAAAGAAAGCCATTGCCTCGACGACGAGACGAGGACAAAGATACCAGTCCACGTTCACGAACTCCCAAACGAAGACAAGAGAAAGAAAAAAGAAGGCGGAGGCGAAGGAGATCAGGATCTACAGAGGTGAGCGGTTCAGAAGTCAGGAGACAGGAAAGGGAGACCCAAGTCTCCAGGAGGAAAAGAAAGAGGGTGCAGATCAGGAGGCTGCAAAGGAATCAAAGATTGAAAGAGAACCCTATTTGAGACCGAGGCCAACACAGCGAAAGCCAAGGTCGCCACATACCCCGGAGCGGCCGCCTCCAGAGCGATCGTCAGGGTCAAAAGGAAGTCGAAAAGGAAAGCATCAAGGAAGCGGTTGGAGAGGACATGTGCCTTATTCACAGCACCCTCGTTGGAGTCAAGGAACCAACAAGGGGATTACAAAAAGGGCAAAGCAAGAGTTGAGAGATAGGAAGTCGCAAGGCAGATATCGTTGGTGAAGGGAGGGATGCCTCCCAAGTTCAGAAGACCAGCGGCGGCCGCAGCTCGGGTGGGTTCGCTCTCGACGCAGGCCTGCCGCGGAAGCAGAAACCTCAGGGCCACTGGAGAAACTATATGGGTGGAGACCTCACCATGGACAAGCTTGGAGAGGTCGATGTGATGGAGCTGGAGCGAGCCCCGTACTACAATGGCCATGTCAAGGTTGCCGGCAGGGTCCGAGCCCTGCACCCCAGCGAAGGGCGGATGGATTTTGTATTGACTGGAACTCAGTCTGAGCGCATTATGGAAGCCTTTGGTGGAGGACAGGATCGAGCGGTCTCAGTCCACCTTTGCCAATCCTTGGGAGCCGATGTGGAAGCAGAATTGGTACGCTTTGTCTCTCTGTGCCCACTGGCATTTATGAACTTTCGCCTACCCGTATCGGAGTTTGTCACGGCTAGTGATGCATCGACTTCCGGAGGTGGTTTGTGTGTGTCGCGAGGGGTTAGCCCGTACGGGTTGGCAGCTTCGCAGGCTGAAGCCCGAGGCGATGTTCTGTGCCATGAGATCGCTCAGGTGCTTGTGATTTCCTTGTTCGGCGGTATTGGCGCCCTGCGCGTTGCTCTAGATACCCTGAAGGTACCAGTGGCCGGGTATATTTCGGTCGAGATTGATGACTTCGCAAGCCGTGTTGTCGAATCGTTCTTTCCGGAGGTGGTCAGAGTTCAGGATGTCGCACACGTCAACCTGGAGATGGTGGCTGAGTGGTCGATGCGTTTTGCTTCGGTGTCACTAGTTGTCTTAGGGGCAGGGCCGCCTTGTCAAGGCGTGTCCGGTCTGAATGCAGACAGGAAAGGGGCTATGCGTGATGCACGATCATGCTTGTTCCAGCAGGTGCCCAGGATCGAGGAGATGGTACGACGTGTGTTTCGTTGGTGCCCGGTGTATCGCCTGATTGAAAACGTCGCCTCCATGGACAAGGAAGACCGTGCTGCAATGCATGCTGCGTACCGGGTCGAGCCGTGGTTGGTGGACGCTGGAGGAATTACTTTGGCCAGGCGGCCGCGACTTTATTGGTGACTGGGAGATGCTGCCTCAGGAGGTGTGACATTGTTGAGGGGAAGGTCCAGGTCAAGAACCTCCCAGTACAGGGCACCATTCAATTGACCGCCAAGGTGGCCGAGGGTGATTTCTTGGAAGCAGGCTGGAGGCGTATCAAGGAGAGCAGTCCGTTCCCGGCCAGACCGTCAGCTGCACCAGGGCGCAAGCCTGCAGGACTTCAGTTGTGTCCGCCGGACGCGGTGGCACGTTGGCAAGCCGATTCACACAGGTTTCCCCCTTACCAGTATAGAGCAGAGAACTGCGTGACAAACGCGAAGGGTGACATGCGTGTGCCATCCACTCGAGAGCGTGAGGTAATCCTGCTAAGGATTACACTCGTCGTTGCATGCCTAAGGGAAAGGAAGGAAGCCAAGAACATAACGATTGCCGCTTGCGTCTACTAGGCAACAGTTGGTCAGTGCCCGTGGTTGGTGTCTTGCTTTACTCGCTGCTCCGATTGTTGGGTTGGGTTCCTGCGTTGAGCATTCAGGACATTGTGGATCGACTCACACCGGGGTGTGCGTCTGACCTTGAGAGGCCACCGCTTCGTCATGAAACACCGGAGACACAGTCAGGTCCCGGTTTGGTTCGGAAGTTGTTAGGGCAGGTGTCGATCAAAGGTGAAGACATCCTCCTGCACCAACAACACGCTTGCCGCTCTTCAAGACAAAGAGCCTGGGCTTAAATGCCGATTGGCGGGCAGCTGGAGGCTGCTCAAGGCTTGGTCGACTGCGGAGATCCCGAATCGGGCACCCCCTATGACCCTTGTTGTTCTTGATGCCATGTGTGGCTGGCTTGTCATGAAGGAGATGCCCGTCATGGCTTTGTCCTTGCGTGTAGCTTTCTTTGGACTGTTACGTACGGGAGAACTCCTCAGCCTCAAGCCAAGGACATCTCTTTGCCTTCTCCCAAAGGACCAGCTGTGCTGTCCTTGCATGAGGATTCGGTCTTGCCTGCACTTTACCACTGGAAGCAAAACGTTCGACCAACTGAATTTTTAACGCCTAAGCCACACCAGTGGCGTTCCCTTTTTGCCAGTGCATTGGAAGCACTGCGACTGACCCCATTGGAGTTTAGACCCTACAGCCTGCGTAGGGGGGGGCAACATTTTCTTTAACCACCACGGATCATTTGACCGATTGTTGGTCCAAGGGCGGTGGGCCGCCGCGAAGACAGCCCGGATTTACCTGAACGATGAGCTGGCCCAATTAGCCGATATGACACTCCCTAATTCGTGTTTGCATACCTATGTGAAGCTTTTCCGCTCTAGCCCAATACTTGAGCCTGGGAAGTCTTGTAAACTTCCCAGAGCAGGGGGACGTGGAAAGCGAAAGGTTGGAAAATGAGAGTGTGGAGTTTTTTCTCATGATTTTGTCGGACAAACCTGCAAGATGGAGTGCTCTGAAGGTTTCCTCTCTAAAAACACTCGAGCCCGGATATGCACCGGTTTGGCGGTTGCATGTTTGGGGGGTGTAGGGGGGCCTCCCGTCTCTCCTGGTTTGGCGGAGTGAACGGGGGGTCGGGGCCCCGAGAGGTAAAGAACTAGATGATGCGTTTTTAAAGTTTGACCAACTCTCTGCAACGCGTGAAAAGAGCGCTAGTGGTTGTGTTTATTCATATCGGTTCTCATAATCATACTATGGTCTTTTTTGTGGCTGACCGTGCCTCGAAACGCGAATGCAGGCACGCCTGCCACTCAGACCAGGGAGGCCGCGATGAGTTCTGATTCTGATTAGCCAACATTGGCTCTGTGCTTTTTGAGGTTCAATTGAAAACACCGAAATTACATCACACGAGAACCCCTTCAACATCCCTCCTGGTACTGGCAGATGGTTACAGTTTTTTCTTTTCTAACTGTTATTCCACATGTTAGTTTTTTTTGTGTTCTTTTTGTTTCTCTCAGCTCCAGCTGAGCCCAATTCCCGGTGCGTCCGAGTGGTTTTTCACAGTTGCACTCTTTCAAGCAGTGAGAGATTATTGGTGGATGCATTCACGAGTTTGTAAACGCCCAATTGTTGCCAAATGTGCAATGATGTAAACCATGCACCGACCGAACGAGATCAAACTTGTGGCTGTCGTGTCAGCTTCTCTTCCCCAGCGTTTACTTTTCCCAGAGGTGCTCCTCAAAAGTTTGAGATGAAACTTTGCCGTCCCACTGGCGCCAATTGCTGGCCAGGTGAATTCGAAGCGTGCCCGTACGCCAGGCAAGTAGTCAAGCCTTGGGAGTTTCATGAAGTTCTTCTCTTAGTGAAGTTCCTAGCGCCGACAGCGTGTAGGGTTCAAATCAAATCGGACTGAACCTGACCGAACTGACGTTTCTCATCATTTCTCATTTATATTTCAAGCTGCCAGATCCTGTGCAGGCAAGGCCCGGTGATTGGACATCTTGACACGGAAGTTCTTCTACATTCTTCTACAAATGATAGCATGTGATAGGTCGATGGAATCTGTAGGTCAAAGCTCACTCATTTCACTAAGGTCACTAGGCTTAATTGGCAATGTGCAGTCCCGGACTCCCCAAAAGAATGATTTAGTGGGACTCAAGAGTTGCAAAAACCATTGCCCACATTGTCCCCTTGCTTGTTTGATGAAGAAGTGTTACACCAATATCGAGAATAAGTAATTTTGACAATATGCAATATATACTTTGAACTTTGAGCACATTCAAGCACACTTCTGTAAACTGCATGTTGTTGCATCCGCACGCCCAAAGTCTTTGTTCTGCATGAGGCATTTCAGGAGGGACAGCAGGTTGTTGTTGCTGTCTCGCCTGTCGTTGCCAAGCGTACTATAGGTGGGGCGGACGTGTTGTGCGGTGCGGGCATGTAATATTTAGTTCCTTCAATGCACCGGCTCTTATTCATTTCTGGATAGATTGAATCTGCATGGGCTTGCCGGCATTGCGGGTGGTTGGTGTCACAATCCATGCCGGAGGTACAGTCGGATGTTGCCGGGGCAAGATGTGAAATCTGAAATCTGACTTAACTCTCAGCCAACACCTGAAAAAGACGTGATGTGTAGTTGTGAAATAAGATTTACCGTCTGTCACACACACACACACATTATAGGCGACCCGGTGCCGGGGTCGCAAGGTCTTAAGTGTCATTGTAGAGCTGTAACTATATGTTATATTGGTCTTTCCTTCTGGCTTAGAGCCTCTGGCTTAGAGCGCATTCCCACAGTTTGAAAGCTTTACCCTGGAATTTACCCTGGTTTGCTCGTGCCAAAAAGCCTTTGGCCGTTCGCTAGGTGGCCAAAGCCCGCAGGTGTGGAAACAAGGGACGCGCATGAAGTTCACTTTAAGAGACTGCTGTGCAAACATGGCTCCATGAGAGTTTGCTTTTTGATTGACACGCTACTACTAGCAACAATGGCCTCCAACCTGCTAGCGGTGGCCTCCAACCCACTAGCCGTATCTAGCGATGGCCTCCAACCTCCTAGCGATGGCCTCCAACATAATAGCGATGACTAGCGATGGCCTTCAACCTGATAGGATCTAATAGCGATGGCCTCCAACCTACTAGCGATGGCCTGGAACCTACTACCAATGGCCTCCAACCTAATGGCGATTGCCTCCTACCTACTAGCGACGGCCTCCAACCTACTAGCAATGGCCTCCAACATAATAGCAATGACTAGCGATGGCCGGCGATGGCCTTCATCCTAATAGGATCTAATAGGGACGGCCTCCAACCTACTACAACCTACTAGCGTTGGTTGGCCTCCAACTTCCAACCCTACCAGCGATGGCCTGGAACCTACTACCAATGGCCTCCAACCAAATGGCAATCGCCTCCGACCTACTAGCGACGGCCTCCAACCTACTAGCAATGGCCTCCAACCTAATAGCGACAATCTTCAACCTACTGGTGATGGCCTCCAACCTACTGGTGATGGCCTCCAACGTAATGGCGATGGCCTCAACCTACTAGCGATGGGCTCCAACCTACTAGCGATCTCCTCCAACCTACTAGCGATGGCCCCCAACCTAATGGCGTCGCCTCCAGGCCAACCTAATCGCGATGGCCCTCAACCTACCAGCTTTTGCCTCCAACCTACTAGCGAGGGCCTCCAACCTGCTAGCGATGGCCTCCAACCCACTAGCAATGGCCTCCAACCTACTAGCGATGGCCTCCAACCTACTAGCGATGGCCTCCAACCTACTGGCC